ACTACTTTAATTCAAAGTACAAAATAGAAAATCATTTTAAAATATCTTCATGAAGGAATTGATAGAATATAAGATTGGGCCCCATTTCCATACCAATAGCACTGTTTGTATGAAAAATAATTGGTTAAATACCTTTTTTGGTCCCTCTACTATAGCAAAAAGCCCTTTTTAGTCTCTATACCGAAAAAATCCCTTTTTTGGTCCTTATTGTTTGAAATCCGGCCCCTTTTTAGTCCCTCCGTTAAATTTTTGCTGATGTGGCAAGTTAACTAACAGAATCATTTGAATATTTTTTATACAAATAATATTATAAATGAGGTGGAAATTATGTGGATGCCACATGTATAAATTAAAAATTTTACTTTTTAATTCATCAATTAAATGAATTTAAATAGGATTAATTTTAATTTTTTAATCGTTTTTGTCTTCTTTGTTAACATTGATAAATTTCTAGGCCTGAAGCACTATGGGAAGAGTTGCAGATTACGCTGACCTTCTTTCTCCTCATGCTTGGCATCATACTCATCCTCACCAGCTGCTAAGCTCTTTGCAGGTTGGCGAACCTAGTTTGGGTTCTTCACGGAACGCTTTTGTTGGGTTCTGTGAACCCAGTTGCTGGGTTAGTGGAACCCAGATCTGGATTCCGCGATGCTTGGTTTGCGGAACCCAGATTTGGGTTCCGCGAAGAACCCGGTTTCTGGGTTCGCGAAGAACCCGGTTTCTGGGTTCGCGAAACCCAGATCTGGGTTCCGCGAAGAACCCAGTTGTTGGGTTCTGCGAACCCAGTTTCTGGGTTCCTTGCTTGTTGGGTTCAAGGAACATTGCTGGGTTCGCAGAACCCGGTTTTTGGGTTCCTTGCTTGCTGGGTTCAAGGAACCCAATTTCTGCTACATTGAGGCATTGAATCACTTTTTTCATTTGATCAATTGTTGGGTTAATTAATTGTTTTTAACAGGTACTTCCAAGAAGGAAGTTGAATAGGTTTTGTTGGTTCATGCGATGAGTTTTAGTCCTTTTGGTTGAACAAATGCATTACTTGTGGGTACGCAACGGTACGCAATGAACCCAGCTTCTGGGATCACGATGAACCCAGCTCCTGGGTTCGTCGCGAACCCACGAGCTGGGTTCATCGCGACGAACCCAATCTTTCTAATGGCTCAGAACATTCTAGCTTTGCTGATAGATTTATGGTGTTGCTTGCAATAACATTCTTTAGGACACCTGGAAAGATTGGAACAGCTTACCTTCAGGCACCTGGGTTCTTTTCTTTTCTTTACCTTCAGGCGAACCCAGGAGCTGGGTTCCTCCTGAACCCAGGCATCTGGGTTCATCGCAAACCCGC